CTATTGTAAGGGGTGGGAAGAGGGAGAAAAGCAGTGCTGAGGCAGGTAGCCTTATGTGTTTGTGGTGGAACAGGATCAAATCCACACCTGAGGTTTCTAGCTTCTCAAGAAGATTTCCAGGCAAGTGAGAAAGTGTGGTGCCTTTCTGCGGTAGTTGTCACTGTAAACAGCGAGAAGCTCAAGTATAATTACTTCCAGAAGAGCATGTTGACAGTTTCTGGACAGCACAGAGGCCACAAGTCCCTGGACATCAGCTCATCTACACGAGTGACTGGGGCTTCAGAATGTGAGAGGAGCCTGGCAGGGTTTCCAGCCACTGGCAGCCTTACTGCTGCTGCTCTGCCAACTGTTGAGAAACCCTCTGATGTGGGGCTGACCCTGAAGAGTCTAAAAGATGAATGAACCTCTCTGAAGATATGTCAAATATGTGTCTCTAGACAGGTGTTTCTCACTGCTCCATTCCTGGGGCTGAGGGGAAAGAGTGAGAGTCCAAAATTCCCTAAGAGATGGTTTACCAGGAAGCCAGGGGTAGGCTGGACTGGGAGGGGGTGAGTGGCCAGTCTGTGGACCCCACATTGCTGGGAGCTCCTACCTAGGGAAGGGAGATGGCTCTAACTTTAAGGAATTAGGTACGTTCCTGCTTTGGGAAAGTGGGAATTTTCTAAATCCCTTCCATCGCAGCCTCGGATCCTAATAGCTGTTCACGAGCACTAGGGACCTTCATGGTTCTCCTTCTCCAGGATGGTCTCCAGGATTGTCCAAACCTCAAATGATGGGTCTCACGCTTTAGTGAACACAAAAATCATCTGGGTTCACTTAAAAGTACAGAATTCCAGGTTGCGCCTTGAGGTTCTGAGAGGGCCCAGGCATCTTCATTTTCAGCAAGCATCAAAAGGGACCCATGCAGGCAGGATCTGGGTCTATTTGAGTCACTTCTATAATCCTAGTGTCTAGTTCTTATATTCTCAGGGCTAAGTGCACAGTAGAAGATTGAAAATGTCATTAGTGAATGTTATTCAATAAATCATCCTTCACACAACTATCAGAATGATCCTTCAATAACTTCACTGTCCAATATGGCAGCTACTAGCCTCATATGGTTATTTACATTAACATTTAAATAAAATAAAAATAAAAATTCAGTGCCTCAGCCATGGCAGCCACATTTGGAGTATGTAATGGTCATATACGACTAGTGGCTAATGCACTGGACAGTACAGGTATAGGACATTCCTGTTATTGCAGAATTATAGACCCAATGCTGGTCTATAACACCGTTCCAGATTAAAGTCTTTCCCTGGCTCCCCACCCTTCTTTGCTAATTCCTTAGCATTTTATAAGAAACCTTTGGGATCTGAGCTTCTTACCACTCCTGTGTCGTCCCTCCCCTTATGTTTAAGCACCAGCAGTGCTGAGCCACAGGGCGCCCTTAGCACCCAGGGGGGTTTCACACATCCTGGCATCGCCCGGCTCCCTCCTCCCCATCCACCTGATAGACTCACAGTCATCCTTACTCATCAGATGCCACCCATTGGGAAGTCTTCCTTGAAGCCATGTTCTCAAACTGACATAAATCACTTTCTTCGCCTTTGTGACTCCCTCAGTACAGACTAAATTATACTATGGCAGGGTTGGTTTCTTCCTCTGTGTCTCCCCCAAGATCAATAGCTCCTTAAAGTCAGGAACTCTGCCTTCATCATCCTTACGCATTCAAGGCCTAGCAAATTTCCTGTGCACACAGTAAGTGCACAATTTATGTTTACGTTAAAGTGAATCACTTAAATCTCTGGGTGTGTGTGGCGATGGGAGCAGTCAGGATTAGACAAGTCAGGTCTCTTTCTAAAAGAGAAGGAGGGCGCCATCACCGTCACTCTCCCGCCCCCCTTGAGGGGAAGCCGAGTGCAGTGAGTGAAGGTGGAGGCCCACAAGAGTAGGGCAGAGGCTTGTGCTCTGGACAGAAACAGGGATAGGGGCTATAAAAAATACCTGGGGAGGGAAGAGGCCCGTAGCTCTTATTTTCCGGAAGGAGAGCAAGACCAGGTCATAGTTCACGGTTTTAATTAATAGGAGGCATGAAGTTCTGTGTAACACCTGAGAGCAATCAAATGAGCTTTAGCTCCGGATTCGGTTAGCACAGCTGTCTTGCCTTCCCAGGGAGCAGAGGGAAGTGGTCAGCAGCCACATCATGTGGGTCATGGTATCCCTTCAGCAGAGGGTCTGAACAGTTTCATCATGCGGGGAGTTTGGGGCTGCCCATTCTTTCTAGGCCCAAGCCCACACGTGAGGACAAAGGATGAGAGGGCACGTGGGACTCCGACTGCCAGCGCTGGGCAGATTTACACCTTCCATCTAGCACTCACACTGAGGCACATGGCCACTGTGAAGGTGTGGGCAGAACTGCCCGCTTAAATAATCATTCTCTCTCTCTCTCTCTCTCTCTCTCTCTCTCTCTCTCTCACCAAATGTGTATAGTTGAGTTCACAGAAGTTAAAATGTGTGTGATGGGAATCTGTTTCCTGCAAACAAAAACCAAGTCACATGGAAGGGATCAAATGATCATAGATTGAGCTTCTGGGCACAGCTCCAAGGTTCTTTTAGGATAGTATTTTATTTTATTCTTAGAACCAAATCTGTGAAGTAGGTACAGATTGACGGATGAAACAAGTAAATTGCTGCAAGTCACCTAACTAGAAAGTGGCTCAGTGGGATCAAAACTGACTTCTGCGTAGTTCCAAAGTCAGTGCCCATTGTATGACACCAGCGGTAGGCGGGTCAGAGGCTGGGCAGGGCTGTGGGGTCTGCCTTAAGACATAATGGCTGAATTCTAGGAGGAAGTTGGGGGGTGTCTCTCCTCTTCTCAGAGATCCCCCCTGACTCTGGGAATGGCAGAAGAAAAGATGGAGAGTTTGTTCCCAGGAAACCCCAATTAACAGGCCTCTTCTCTGGGCTAACTGGTTTGGGGGCATCTGACCAACCTGTAAAAACTGGCCCCTGGTCCACAGAACCCAAGCACAACACACGTTAAGCCCTGCGCTATGTGACCCATCCAACTTGGGAAAAGCCAAAACCACGTTCATTTGTTTATTATTCTTTGAAATATTTTAGTTGATTTTCCTAGAGCAAATCTCCCTTTTTAGTCATGATCTACAAAAGCCAACTTTAGAAAACAAAAGCACAATTCCTTCTGACCAACTAAAAATAGAATGTATGATCCCACAGATGACAGAGGAAAGTATCTGACATTGAAATTTTCCATAAGAAACCCATTAGGTCTAAGTCACTGGCTCCTGGATAAGAAATTATGGACTTCACTCAAATTGAAGGTTTCAAAAATACAGTCACCATCTTGCATTTAGGGAGGAACAATTTAAGCTTCCCTCATGAAAGAGAAAGGTGAGGGGCTTCCAAAGGCATAAGCCCAACCAGGCTTGCAGCTGTGCACATCCTTAGTACCCTGAAGCCCCCACGTGAGCAGGGAGCAGAGGATGAGGACGCTTCATGGGAAGGTCAAGAGTTTATCACGTGATACTCCAGGCCTGAGCTCAATAGGCAAAGATAGAAACAAACTCACCATTTGATCCAGCTGAAAGAGCTGTGGGAAGAAAAGCAAACAGCAATAAATAAGCACACGCTGGATTTGTCGTTAAACTGAGAAATCAACAAAAAGCCAATGCTTGAAATGGGATCAGTGTCCTTTCCAAACATTCAATCTGCCCATCCTCATCCAACATAAACACCAAAAAATGCCAAGAACAATTGAATCATTTACTTGTTTTTTCTTTCTGAAATGAGATATGGAAATTATTACAAAAAGACAATTTATTTAGATTTTTACACTGCTGTTTTACTTATAGCTGGCAATCTTCTCCTGTCTTTCTTTCTTTCTTTTTTTGGCTGAGGGGAGATGTAATTATTCAGAAAGATATTCTCTAAGAAGCAGCAGGTATTTTCTACTGCCTAAAATTAAAAGAACATATTATTACCCAGATGGCTTGGAAGTGCACAGCTCTATAATAGCCCTGTAGCCCTGTAGCGGTAGTTCATGGTTTCAGCTCTAAAAGGCTACATTTCACCCCTTTTTCACGTTAACCTTAGTGTCAACAATGCTAGAATGATATAGATGCTGATACATTAGCTGCTTACTATGTGATAGAAGACTCTTATTGCAGCACTATTTAAAATAGCCAAGATATGGAGTAAACCTAAGTGTCTATCAACAGATGAATGGACAAAGAAAATGGGGTACATCTACACAATGGAATATAATTCAGCCATAAAAAAGAATGAAATCCTGTCATTTGCAACAACATGGATGGAACTGGAGCACATTATGTTTAGTGAAATAAGCCAGGCACAGAAAGACAAATACCATGTTTTCACTCATCTGGGGGCTAAAAGAAAAGCACTGAACTTATGGAGATAGAGAGCAGGATGATGGTTACCAGAGGCTGGGAAGGGTTGCAGGGGAGGGGGGAAAAAAAGAGGAGATGTTTAATGGGTACAAAAATACAGCTAGATAGAATGAATAGGATCTAGTGTTAGGTAGCACAACAGGATAACTATAGTTAACAATAATTTACTGTTTATTTTAAAATAACTGAAAGAGTAGAATTGGAATGTTGCTTATACAGGGAAATGAAAAATGCTTGAGGTGATGGAAACCCCAATTACTCTGATACAATCGTTATACATCATATGCCTATATCAAAACATCACATGTACTCCATAAATATGTACAACTATTATGTATCCATAATAATTAAAAATAAAAAATTTTTTTAAAAAGAAGTCTATTACGTATGAGATCCCAGCATTTATAAAATTAATGGTAACACAGATACCTGATACTGGAACGAAATGCCTGAGGACATTGTGTTAATGTTTATACCAATTTCCAGTGACACCTGTAAACTAATCTGTTTACTTCTGGAAAATTATTCCATCTTAAAAGCTTAGGATTTAGTGACTCTGGCCCATATCCTCTCATCGTAGCCACATACCTGAAAGCTTAGGTTGTGTCTTTTTCTTTTTGCTTGAAACTTTCAAGAACTCATCAATAAGCAAGTCATTAGCGCAGGCTCTCTTGTCAGGGTCAGGTTCAAAACATTTCAATATGAACGCCTTGGCCTCTGCGGACATGGACTCCGGGATCTCAGGGTGGACTTTAAACATTCCCACCTAACACATAGATATGAAAAGCACAATGTGTCTTCTGAGTGACTGGCTCATCACCTGAGCTCCAGGTTCCATAACTTGGTCCCCTAGTGCAACAAGGCCCTTCATCACACACTACAAGCTCATGGCTTCTCTAGAAGCGAGATGTGTTTTCTGTAGGTTAGGGAAGGTTTACAGAGTGCTTATGTAACTTTACCAACGACACAGGCAGAGCAATTAGTTTAAGACAGTAGACGGCACTATGAAGTAATAATTCAGTCCTTCAAAGCTTTAGAACACATCAGTATACTGGCACAAAAAAAAAGGATATTTTAAATTGAGACCACTGACTTGTTCACAATAGCTATGTGCCAGGCATTGTGCTGGGGTTTTTCCATTTATGAATCTCCTCGAATACTTCCGACAACCCAGTGGATTAAATATTATCCTCATTACACCATGAGGAAAATGAGGCTCAGAAGAGATGAGGTTACATGGTTATGAAAAGACAGATCTGGGGTTGGAACCTTGATTTGTTGGGATTAAAGCCTATGTTCTTTCCCCTAATACATGATTTGTGAATATTTTACCGGTCTCAAATCACCTACATTAAAAGAGATATTTAAAATTGCCTTAAAATTAAACAGCATTTTTGTAACAACTAGAATTTACTTCTTGTTGCTGCTGTTCTAAAAAGTGCCTAATGATATTTTTATGTACTAAATGTACAGAGAAAATTTTCTAAAGAAATCTTTTTGTTAGTATATAGTTTATATAAATTTATCATTATATAAGTAACAATATATAATTATTTGTAAGAATTATATAGCCTTTACTATGTGTCTGCCACAGTTCTAAGTGCTTTGCATACATGAGCTCACATACTCTTCAAAAAACTCCTATTAGACAGGTACTATCTTTATCCTCATTTTATAGACGAGGAAACCAAGGTCCAAGGAGGTTAAGTAATTTGCCCAAAGTCTCAAATGTCTTGATCATGTTAGGGCCTGGATTCAAACATTGTAAATTAGTGCCTGAGCTTATGTCCTCTCATCTCTCTAAGATAGAATGACTTCCTGGGCACAGCTTAGGCTGGCCCAAGAGTGACAAAGGCATGTGGTATAATAATCACTGCACTCACATGCTATAAAGCAGCATTTCAGAGTAAGTCCTAGATACTGGTGAAATCTTGAAAGACTGGCCAAGAAGAGAAAGCATTCCAATCACAGCAAGAGAGGCAGTGCTCTTGGCACCTGTCATCACTGTTTCAGGCTTGATCACACCACTTGTTTTTATACCAGCAGTGTCCTATCAGATCATCTCCAGCTTAAAACAAGCTAAGCTTTGTACAGAAGCAGGAGGCAGAATATGTAACACGCGGCCCCTCACAAGAGGCTGTACACAAATGCGAGCAGCAGCAGGAGTAACAATTATCATCAAATGGATTTTCTCAGTGATAAAGTGAACAGTAGCTGTGTGCTTTACTTCTTGGGAAGCAGATGCCCATTTCAAACTGCCCGTTTGAAGCTGGTGGCCCAGCACCAGAAACTGCCTGGTGGCTTGGCAGGAGAGGGCTGCAGGGAATCAGAGGCAGGTCATTGCCATGCCCAGTCCCCAGATCTCGAGACTGTGGCAGCTGAGCTCTCGCAGGCCTATTACTGTATCAGGTGCCTCCTACTTTGGGAGGTGGCGCTGCTTCCCACTCCCGAAAGAGTTAAGAAGGGGCAAATTCACAGGCTAGAAGAGCAGATGTATGAGAATAAGACTGATTTACTTAAAATGGTAATTGTGCCCTTTTAAAAGGAAGCCTTCAAACTATTATGGTAAAGAAAAATATTGATTTGATTTAATTCCTAAATGGGTAAAAAAAAATGTTCTTATATCTCCCTCTATGAAAAATTTTCAGACTGTTTCCCAAAGAGCTTAAATCATCTTCCATATAGTGATGTGTTATTTATACTGTGTTGTTAAAAGGTGGGCAAAGGAAGTCACATAGAATCTCACTTTATTGCTGAGAAAACTAAGGCAGAGAGAGACCTGTTGTGTAAGGCACAGATACTGACTCTGATGAGACACAGAACCTTCTTGAATTTTAATGTGCTCTCTGTTCACGTTACTTAGGCTCCTTTCCTTTTACCTGAAAAAATAGGACATACACACACAGAACATCCAGTAGCTACGAAAAGCTTTATCCATTTGTTTTTCAGATAAATGAAGTATGACCTTGAACATAGCCGCTTGTGGTTCTCCCAGTTCATAAAACGGTGGTTTTCCTGTGGCCATTTCAATGATGGTGCAGCCCAAAGACCAAATGTCGGCTGCTTTTCCGTAGCCTCTTGGTCCTTTATCTATTATTTCTGGTGCCATATACTGAAGGGTGCCTGGAAATAATTGAAACACATTTCTACTTTAAGAAGAGAAAACAGATGGATATCTAATGACAGTTTCGATTTTTCTATATAAATAAGACAACTTCACAAACATGATTTGAGTCCTCATATCTCATCTTTTTTGAGTTCCAGTTTCTCTGCTGTTAATAAAAATTGAAATAGCAGCTTTTATAATGGATTTTATCAGTGACAAAAAAATAATTTACCAATATTATCTGGTTGTGAATAGGTACATTCTCCTTCCCTAGACAGTGGAGTATAATCGAGACATCATTTCACTGGGACCTCTTAGAAACTTCTAACAATTAGTCTTTTGAAAACAACAGAGAATACACCAACACACATTTTCTGTGTTCAGTTCTCCAAGTGCATGAAGACTGTTATTACGTACACTTCTGAACTTTTCCAGGAAAAATCTAGTTCATCCATCCATTTCCTTAGATCTATCTAGATCTCTCAATTCCTGAATTGAATGCTTAGTTTTCTCCCTTTCATTTTTATTTCTTAATCATGACAGCATGAAGATTCTGAAAGCAATTGTGAAAAATAATGCAAATAAATTTCTGGTGTACCCTGTTCTGTAAATCAAACATACATGACTCTGGCTATGTCTGTGGTCTGTGGAATAACAGGTTTATCAGATCAAAGACAGAGCTATCAATACAGACAAATCAGATAGAGTGAACAAGAATAAAATGCAAAAGAGGAGATTTAAAGCCGCATGAAATCAGAGAGTTGAAGAGTGTGGTATGATGGAAAGCATTAAGTGGTGGGCTGAGAGCCCTTGGTTCTGCTTCTGGCCTGGTACATCCCAGCCAAATACCCCATTGCAAATACCTCATTGGCCCAAATGGGAGGCTGGATTTAGATTCTTAATAACCCCCAGAGTGGTTTCCCAAAGTCTAGCAATGAGTCGGGAACGTGACTAGGAACATATTATTACCATATTCTCCGTTTCTGATATACAAATAATATAATCAGCAAACAGGAACCCATCCAAGATGTCATGCTGATTAACTTCAAAGCCTGAGACGTTTGCCAAAGCAGCTACTTTAGTATTCTCTGATTCATAACCAAAGTGACAGACAATCTGATAAATACACATTACACCTTTTATGAATGCCTCATGCATGATTTATATAAATAGGTGAAAACTATAAAATTCCTCCAAACTGTTCCTAGGAAAACCACTGTCACAGGCTAGAGACTGACTGTTGTTCATAAAAATAAATAAAAGTATATCATTTTTGTCAAGTGTTGTCATCTTGCAGGTTCATCCTCCAGACCTCATCACCGCAAGACAACAGTTCATGCTCATGTTCACACACAACTGCACATGTCTTTTCTCAGAAAGCCTTTCACCTGGCCAAGGAGAGGGCAACCACACTCCCCAAAGACTCACCTACCCTTAGTATAAAATTGTTATGATTTCTCTTCATTTTATAGCTTTCCCCCAAGTGACAATTTTTTATGATTTAAATAAAATCAAGCGGTCTTTTAGAAAATAAGTGTTGAAGCCTACCCCTCCCTTTTGTCATCTGTGTCCAGAACAAAATTAATGAGAGAATTTAAGTTGTACTAATATCTAAGTAGGAATTGTAACTGATTAGAAATCTAATAAATTTTAAAAACTGGGCAATTCAAGTAATGTCAACAATAAATTATGCAATATTTTACTCATCAGATAATTATTCAAAGAGCTCTATCTGCCAATTGTGTTTAATTATCTCCCACTGAACAAGTGCCAAAAAACAGGTTGAGTCATGTATTCATATCTGCTCCTCTTTTTATTCCACAAACACATGACACACAATATTTTATACAAAGAAATTTACAGAGCTGGATAATGAAGATCCAAGCCAATCAGAACATCAGCCTAAGGAAAACAAGTAAGAGTATTAACTCTAAAATCCATACTCCACATATCTCAATTCCAAAATTTTTTTTAAATTACTTTGAAATATTTTAGGATTTCTCTGCCACTGCAACTACGCAGGGAGGTGGAACAGCTTAGTGGTTAAGGTTGATGTCACACTTCATTGATTTATTCATTCATTCAACAGATCTATACTGAGGGCCTACCATGGGTCAGACACTGTCCCAGTAGCACACAGACAGAAATCCCTGGGCTCGTGGAGCTTATATTTTTGCAATGGAGGGCAGATAATAAACTATCAGCATAATAAGTAAATTATGTAATATGTTAGAAAATGATGTACTATGATAAAAAAAAAAAAAAAAAGACCAGGGTAAAGGGAATCAGAATGCCCAGAGAGACTGCCATGGTAAATGGGGTGTTCATGGTGGATCTCACTGAGGAGGTGACATCTGAGTCAAGACTTGAAGGAGGTGTGGGAATTAGCCATGCAGATGGCTGGGGGAAGAGAGTGACTGGCAGAAGGAAAAGCATGTGCAAAGGCCCTGCAGCAGGACCCTGCCTGGTGTCACAGAGGAAATGCAGGAAGGCGCAGTTTCGGCGCAGAGTGAGCAAGGGGACAGGAGCAGGCAATGGGGTCTGAAAGGTAATGGACTCCGAATCCGGTCAGAGCCTTGTCCACCATTGTGAAGCCTTTGACATTTGTCTACTCTGAAAGAAATAGCCCTCGAGGGCTCTGAGTGATAGGGCTTGGTTTATGTTTTAAAAGGATCACTCTGGCTGCTGTGTTGTGAATAGACAGGAGGGGGCAAAGTGATGCAGGAGAACAGTTGGGAGGCGACAGGGGTGATGTACGTGAGCTATGAGGGTGGCAGCAGTGGAGGTGGTCCAATTTCAGGCACACTTTGAAGGTAGAGCTAGGAGGCTTCCTTGATGGATTGGGTCGCAGTGTGGGAAAAGAGAGGTGCCCCGGGAAGTCTGGAGTGGCCATCAACTGAGACAGAAGAGTGTAGGTGGGGCCAGGTTTGGGGGAAAGACAATTAATTCCCCTTGGCCTGTTAAGTCTAGTTTGAATCTCAGCTCTATTACTAACTAGCTTTGTGACCGTGGGCAAATTATTTAACATCTTTGAAACTTGATTTTCTCACCATAAACTGAGATATTATACTAACAATTAGGGTTGATACATGAATTTCAATGAAACAAGGTATGTAGAAAAAGCACTTAGCACAGAGCCAGGTATACAGTAAGCACTCCAGAAATGGGGGTCACTGCTGCCTTTCCCCTCACCAAAATCACCAAGAGGTGGAACAGGTCAATGTCCTTGGGCTCAATTCATCAGAGGTTGGCTAAGCACCTGGGACTTGGTGGGCACCAAGTTCGTGCTGTGAGGCCTACGGTGTGGAGGGACCCAGGCCTGCACACCCCGGCCTAAGCACTGCTGCTGGGGACAGATCCAAGCACATTAGTCACACAGGTCACTCTCATGTGAGACCAGTGGGAGAGGTACGAGCAAAGGGCCGTGCAAGGATTGCTTTCCTACAACTGCTTTGGGGATTTTCCAAAAAATGTTTTCAAGATTTAGCAAAAGACACTCTATTAACATCCTGTCCCACAATGTATGTGAAAGTAGGGATTTTCCTTTCAGAAGTTACTGAGTCTTGGCAGCATCTAAAATGTCTCTTGCCAAGTTGAGCGTATGAGGAAAGAAATGTGAAGACATTTGTCTCTGGCCATATCCCGAATGCACCAGATCTCCTTTAATCTTATAAGCTAAGTAGGGTTGGGCCTGGCTAGCACTTGGATGGGAGAAATGTGAAGACATTCAAAGTTCCTAACAGGTTGGAATTTATTTTATTGAAAAAGACGCATTCAAAATGTGTTTAATTCTGTGCCCTGAAATACCCATTGCCTTGAAGGTGGGACCTGGGCCAGAGGTGTCACTGACTGAATGTTCTGAAGAGAAAGCTTATGGAATCTCTCTCCTCCTTTCTGCTTCCCAGGCTACCAGAGGTGGGGCCAGAAGGTGAAAGCAAAGAGCAAAGGAGAGATTAAAAATCTGAGTTCCATCATGTACACACCTCTGTGACATCTGACAGTGACGTCCCTTCTCTCTCACTCGACTTCCTCATCTGCAAAACAGAAGTGCTACCACCTACCTCACAGAATTCAGAAATGGGGATGTCTGGCCATTATGCTTCTTAGGAAACCAAAGATTATTCGTTACTTTTTTTTTTTTTTTTTTTGCTAAATGTCTCTTTCTCTAATACTGTAACAGAAGAACTTAACACTTCATGAGAATCAGCATGATGGAGTGATAAGAACTTGGAATGGAAACTAGGTTGAAGTCCCAGACCAACCCCATAACTGTTGAGTAGTCATTAATCTCCTGAGCCTCAGTTTCCTCTTGGCTACTGTTACCTTTTTGGAAATCTCTTTGTCTCCTCCCTCCCAGGACTGCACCAGAGGCAGTTCAGTCACTGCGTTGCCTAATTTCTCAGGAAAGCTCTCTCCCCAACCCTCTTCTGAGCTGGTGAGTCACTTCCTCTTTCTGAATTGAAATCCTACGGTTATTTATACTGTGGAGTAGGGGAATAGACCACAGGGAGTAAACAGACTGGCAGAGGGAATTCGTAGTCCAAATGGGAAGTGATTAGGGTATGAGTAAGAATCACAGAAAGGTTCAGCTAAAGAAATGTTTCAAAAAAACGATCTTGCCAAATTGTAGGCCAAGTGGGAGAGAAATAATGACATGAAAAGAAAAAAACAAAAACCGCATTGAGAATTAAAAAAAAAACCTCTTCAGTGACATTAAGCAGGAGTCTAAGCAAGTCGTGAAAATACAAGGAGAGAAAAGGGCCACATCAAATTCTATACAACATTTTTCAGTGAGCACGAAAAAATACCAACATTAATGGATGTGAGAACACCGACTGAATTTCTCTCTCACGTTATACTTGAACTCAGCAATTATTTTTTTTAATTACATAAGATCTGTATCATTGTTGTAAAAACATACCAGTAAAAGTTTCAGTACATGGGTTTATGCCAGCAAGCCTCTTTGATGTCCCAAAGTCAGAGATCTTGAGAACGCCACTGTAGGTATTAATCAACACATTGTCACCCTAGAGAATAGAGGACTTTAATCACAAATGTTATCTTTCTTCAGATACTCTTTGTTGTAGTTAAGTCCAAAAAAAAGGTGTCCTTAGAGCAAACAAAGAGACACTCTGTATTCTTCATGAATAGCATCTCACTAGCGAATTAATACCATTTTTTATTTATATATTATCAGTTACTCAAAATCTGCTACTCAGGTCACATGGCTCCTGATCAATTAGAGCTTGCTGCTGTTTACAAGTATGTAATGATCTATGTGTGATAAGTTAAATTATGATATTCATAACTTGCTAGTCGCTTTACTTTCTCTTCTATGTTGCTTGACTTCTTTCCCTGGAATATTTAAGGACATCACAGATAAGTGGGCACTTGGGTTGATTTTAGGGTAATAATATTAACTTACTTTCCATAATCCAGCTCTGTCAAAAATGTATTAGTTCTGAATTTTCTCTTTTTAAGGAGGATCTAAAGTTATTATTTTAGTTTGTTCTCTTAGAAAATCTATGTAATAATTTTAGTTCAATCCATGAATCTGATAATTGTGAGAAAGGGGGACTTTTTTTTTCTTCTAACCATTCATCCATTGATTCAGTAAATATTTATTGAGTAGCTATTATACTGTGGGCAAGGATACAAAGATTAACCAGTTTATAAGCTTCTTGGGAGCAGGAACTATCTCCTGTTTAACTTTTTTTTTTTTAAGAGACAGGGTCTACAGTAGAGACTGGGCTATGTTGCCCAGGCTGGTCTGGAACCCTTGGCCTCAAGTGATCCTCCCACCTCAGCCTCCGTAGTAGCTGGGACTATTGACTTGTGACACCACACCTGACTCCCTGTTTAACTTTATACTGCTACACCCCCACCCCACAGAGCTAGTGGCAAACATCACATAGAGGGAATGCAATCTTGTTGGCTGAACACAGTTAAAGAGTTTATTCCTTGAGTAGAAGAGGTAAGACATGAACATAAATAACTGATTCAGCATAGTATATTTCTGCTGTTTCTAAGATATACCTATTTACCATTCTAAGTTAATACTTATAATAACAACATGACTTTTGCAAATAAAATAATAACCCAGTAAGGAACTCGTGAAAGTGAAATCCGGCACACCCTACCTTTATGTCCCTGTGAACAATCTGATTGTCATGGAGGTATTTTAATCCTTCCAGTATTTGCTTTGTATAAAAGCCAATTGTTTGCTCATTGTCTTTTAACGGGCCCCATTTGGAACGAAGAAGAGCAGAAAGACTTCCTGTAAAGTAAGGAGAAAGAGTGGATAAAATCTTACTTATCCAAATGAGCTCTTTAAGCATATTAATAATGTAACACTAATTTAAGCCAACATTCATTGGTTGTTCACAGCAGCCCAGGAACTGTACCAGATACTGGGTTCAAACATGAAAATATCCCTATTCTGAAGACGTTTGTTATCAAATACAGTCTAAGTAAAAGGCCAATGTCAATTGCTAACCTTAATCCAAGTCATCATGATTGATACTAAAATGGTTCCAGTATTTATTTATTGTCTCTGTGAAATTAAATAATTCAAACTTAAAGCTGTTGGAACTTTAAATTATTTAAGCCTTATTGCAGCTACAGCTTCTGCTTCTCCGATTATAGATTAAATCTCTTTCTCATTTTTGTCTGAGAACGATTAGGAAAGAATGAATGGTGCCAGAGACAAGACCCCTGGACATCATTACCCTTTCTTATAGAATGTTAAAGTGGTCTTCCTTAAAACATAACAAGCTCTAACCAATGGAATCACTGCAATGTACATCCTAGAGTTTGCTTTTGAATAAACTCTATACTTAATCATAGTTTTTGAATCTCCTAACAAACCGAAGGTAATGTCATATGTCTCATTTTCCTTTCAGAGTAGATAGATGGAGGTGTGTACTCTAGTAAATCTCATTCAATTTTACTTCTCTTCAAGGACCTAGAAATTTACACTTTTTAAATAAAGGAAAACATCTCTTACCTCCCGGGACCTGTTCCATGAAGATTTTAATGAAACCATTCTCACTGAAGGAGCCCAGATACTGGACAATATTTTTGTGCTTCAAGTGCTTGTGCAGTGCTATTTCTTCATGTAAGGGCTGAGAGTATCTAAAAGACATGCAAATGCCGATGAGCTAATTATGCAGCCAGACTTTTGTGTATAAATTTCAGCAATACAAATTGAAAATGTTAGCTACATATACGCCATATATAAAACGAAAATGACCATCTAAGGCCTTTATTTCTCATAAGATAAATCTGTGAGGTTGAAGGTGTGATAGGATCTGGAGGAAAATATGTCAGGCACTGTTCTAAGTCCTTTGTATATATATTAACTCATTTCTCATAACGATTCCATGAGACGGTACTATGCTCATTGTATAGATGAGGAAACTGATTCACAGAAAGTGAAACGGTCCTTTATAAAATTAATAAAGGGCCACAAGCTGGGAACAGTGGCAGGAACTCTGCAAAGGTATAGGCACAGTTAAATATATACATGACTGGCCATCGTCCCCTAGTTTGCTTTCCTATAATTGCTACTCAGGCGTCACATAGCTGATGGTCACAAAGATTCGTAACTTTCTTAATTACTCCCATAAATAACATCACCCTTGTGAAACCTAAGGTTAGTTTTTGTGGGTATTTTTTTTCCAGAATTTTATGGGGGTACACAAGTTTTGGTTACATGATTTGCTTTTGTACAGATTGAGTCAAAGTTATAAGTGTGCCCTTCACCCAGTTAGTGTGCATTGTACCTGTTAGGTGTGAATTTACCCATCCTCTCCTTCCTCTCCCACCTACTTGATTTCCCTTGAGTTTTACTTCCATATGTGCATATAAGTGTTGATCCATTAGTTTTAATTTAGTATCTAACCTTAACAGAACATGTACTAAGGTTAGTTTTTGAGATATCTTCCAGGCCCTGCATTCCAGGGGATCAGCTGACCCACCCAGACCAGTGGTCAGTACCAAGGAACTGACTCAACTGGTCTTGCAACCCCTACCCAGGAACTGACTAACCACAAGAAGACAATTTCTGTACCCCTATGGTTCTACCCCAAACCCAGCCAATCAGCCAACACAACTGCCTAGCCCTTTACCTGCCAAATTATCTTTAAAAACCCTTTCTCCCAAATTCTCAGGGAGGCAGATTAGAGAACTTCCTATCTCCTTGCATGGTGGCTGTGACATTAAACTCTTTCTCTGCTGTAACCCCTGCTGTCTCATCAGGATATCGGCTTCCTCTTGAGCAGTGGGCAGTGAAGCTGGTAAGGCCGTAACAAGAGGATGACTAACTTGCTCAAGATCACAAAAACTAGTAAGTGGCAGAGTTAAGATCTGAACCCAGAATTATTGGGATCATCCACACAGTATACTGGCTACATTAACATGACTGCCTGTTCCATTGGCCTCATCACCATAACTTTACTATCCAGGAGACTCTTGCCCAGGTAGACAAAAAATTGTCAATAACTTTAATGTTTATTCCACAACTTCCTGAAAGGACCATCAACTCTTCAATAGAAAACATAAAATGAGGCCGGGTAAGGTGGCTCACACCTGTAATCCTAGCACTCTGGGAGGCCAAGGCAGGAGGATTGTTTGAGGTCAGGAGTTCGAGATCAGCCTGAACAAGAGCAGGACCCCATTTCTACCAAAAATAGAAAAAATTAGCCAGGTGTGGTGGTATATGCCTGTAGTCCCAGCTATGCGGGAGGCTGAGGCAGGAGGCTGGCTTGAGCCCAGGAGTTTGAGGTTGCAGTGAGCTATGATGATACCACTGGACTCTAGCTATATATTAAAATGATATATATCCCAAGTCTCTTTGAGCCCCTTGCCTCGAAATTCTCACCTTACTGTGTCTACCGATTCTATTACATCATGATTTTTACTCAATCCTAACCAAGCTTCCACATTGAAAGTATGATTTAAAATCATGTACTTGATGTATTTTGCTATATCAATTATAAAAATTATTTTATATTTCTAGAACACTTTAATAATTATTGGAAGTACCGTAAAGCTTATAGACTCTTAACAATCCTGAATTCAGTGTAGCCCTAATGTAATTATTATATAGCTTGTCAAAGAAAAAATTTCAACAAATTGAGTTTTAAAGATCTAAATTATCTTTTTTTAGTGATTCTTGAGCCAGGCAGCATCCAATCAAAATAGACAGCAGCTCCTCTGGGCTTGGCAGCACAGTTGGTTTTTGTAAGATAGCTTGAGAAGCAACAAGGCAACAGCATAGCACAAAAGTGGCTGGTTAACATCAGGTTACTTCAGGTTACTTTCCTTGTATGGGTTAAAGCAGAAGGGACTTCCTTATCACGCCAGCTTAGGCTGACTGGGGGCCTTCTGACTGGTTGCTGTGAATCTCCTGGGTATTTTTTTTTTTTTTTTGGGGTTTGGGAGTTTAGCTATCATCTCACTCCTGATTTCTCAGAAGATCAGATCTTAAAAGTAAACAGCTTAGGTTTTGGTTTGGTGATGTGGAACCTTAGCATGAGTGACTCCATTTTGGGCCGGTATGTTGAGGCCTAGAGCAGGAGCTCAGTTCAAATCAACAACTATACATTTTACTTAACGAGCTCAGTATAGTAGGGTGTTAGCAATGATTAGACTCAAAGCTATTCCCTATTATATATATATTTTTTTGCTCTCACATAATGGAGGCCTCAGGTGTGAAAGGCAGTAACTACTAAGATGTAGGAAATGCAAACCTGATGTCTCACACTTGCTTGAGTTCCACATGCAGAAAATGCACAAATCTTACAATGGCAAATCCATATAAGCAGAATGGATTTTTTTTGAATGCCAATAACAAATATTAGAATTGATTAGAATTGAATAATATCATTTTCAATAAGCTTTTAAGGTTAGAACTCAAGCTAAAGCAATTAGCAGTTTACAAAAATCTAAATTGATTTAATTTAAATAAGTTTTTATAATCTGTATATATTACTCAGGAAGCAGCCAACAATAACAGCAACAAAAAAGACTTGTATTTTAGATCTACTGTTGTTCTCTTTTTCTTTAGAATTGCTTTAGGAACTATGAAGGGCAGGTATTAAAATGAACCCTTTAAAAGTACATGAGTTAGAGACAGCAACAACATTTTGCTAATTGCTTATAACACCAGAATACTAATACATAGTGTTACCAATAAGGTGCTTAGGTAATGACTCTTGGCTGTGAATACATTTGCTAGTTATTTCTTCCATGGGGGTTAAAACACTTTGACATTAGTTCATGATTGCTCTTGACAGGCATTAGTGGCAAATCCTGTGCCTATTCTACAGATTTAGGAGATCAAGATAATTAAATAACCTGAAACAAGCAACTAACTCAGTTTATTATGAATTAAAGGGCTCCCACCTCCTGATCCTCTATTGAAAATCAAACCATGAACACTTAGATTCCAGAGGAGCCAATACTCCCACTTCATTATCTAAACCAAAGATAGCTCAACATTTGCAATACTTGTCAGAATCCAACCTAGCTAAGGATAAGTACTCTTCTTCAATATGGAAAATATTACGAACCCCCAGCAACTCTCACTAAGCGCCAAGCACTCAATAAGGATGGAATTATAATTTGTTCACATCAATAAATTATGTTTGTTTATGGGAATTACAAGAACATATCTTTCTCAATTAGCTTTAACAATGGAAAGAAGAAATGATATCAATAACCAAAAATTCTTATATATATTTAACTCTGAAAAAATTATTAATCCATAGGTATCTCCAGAACACCCCCTCTGAGTCAAATCCCCGCTGATAACCATCCAGAACAGTGGTTCCCAACCTTGACTGGACATTTACATCTCCCGGAGGGCTTCTTACATGATATCAATGTCCAGGACCACCCCAGAATCTTTGGGGGTGAAACTTGAGCAGCAGTATTTTTAAAAGCTCCCCTGTTGACTCTAATATGCAGTTGGGTGGAGAATAACTGATAGAAATAAACAGTTCAGGAGTGTGTAGACTTAACAGAAAAGAAAGCCAACCTGAGATTAACAACTAGCTGGGGATAGATTATAAAATCAAAATCCACCATCCCTCTTATACGACCACCCTGATTCTCTAACAAAGTGGTTTTATAACATGAAGGAAACATAGGAGAAACTGTTTTTGTTGCTATGATCCCTCTTTATAGACAGTAGTTTAGTGTACCCTGGATAGTGCATTATTCACATCACTCATACTACTTTAGCGATTATCCTTTGTAACTGCTATGTTTTTTAATGGAACATCCACATCTCTCCAGGGCACATAGATAGAAACACCCTTGTTTGCCGTATCTTCACAATAACAATGACAGACTTCTCTGTAATCTCTTTAAATAGTTAACAAGATGCCCTGCACCAGCTGTTCAAGGTAAGGGCTTGTCACGCACAATCCACAAATACCAACTGCATTGTTACAGAACAGGAGCTGAAAACATTTTGTTGGTGCTGGTGTGCTTTGTGTGTTGTATAGTGGCATTTGAATAAACTTAAGCTATGAGGTGATTTTTTTCTTTTTTTTGAGACAGGGTCTCGCTCTGTCAGCCCAGCTAGAGTGCAGTGGTGTCATCATAGCTCACTGCAACCTCAAACTCCTGGGCTCAAGTGATCCTCCTACCTTAGTCTCCCAAGTATCTGGGACTACAGGCGTGTGCCATCATGCCTCGTTAATTTTTTAATTTTTTGTTGAGATGGGGTCTCGTTCTTGCTCAGGCTGGTCTTGAACTCCTGGGCTCTAGCAATCCTCCTGCCTCAGCCTCCCAAAGTGCTAGGATTACAGACATGAGCCACTGTGATCAGCCCTACAAGGTGATTTTAAAAGTGATTTTCTTTTTTTTTCTTTTATTTTTTTATTTCAGGGTATTATGAGGGTACAAACATTATGGTTACATTTTATGTCTTTGCCTCACCCAAGTGAGGGTTAGAGGCATGCCGTTCCCCTCTATAATGCTCCCTGTGATTTTCTTCCAAGTGTCCACTTAAATCCATTGGAAGGGGAAAAGGGAAGGGGTGGGGCTGAAGGTTAGTGAATTTGGCTACAGAAATTTGATAGCATTGACCTCTTTAAAATTTTGTATTGTTTCAAAGTCTACTCTATAGCTGGGTGTGGTGGTGTGTACCAGTAATCCAGCTACTCGGGAGGCTGAGGTGGGAAGATTGCTTGAGCCCAGGAATTTGAGACCAGTCTCTGTGACACAGCAAGACCTCCCTGTCTCAAAAAAAAAAAAAAAAATCGAAAATAAAGAGTCTACTCTACATACATGCTACTTAAGAACCTGTAAGAATATTTAACAAAATTTTTAATAGGACAACTTTATATACATCACTCTAGGTATTTAATAAATAATTTCTATCGCTGTTTCATAAGAATTCGTAAGCATGTCTCATGATCTAACCAGGAGGAAACTCTGAAACAATACCACCAAAAATGTAAAATTGAAACCATGCATGTGGCAGCCAACAACAGCGATTTGCCTGTCTAACATCTGTTCTTCTTTCTATGACTTTTTTTGGAGAAACAAATGGCCAACTAAAAGCCACAGCGTTCCTAGCCTCCCTTGTAGGTAGGAGCGGGTACTTCTGGCCAATAAACAGAGGTGAAAGAATGCTGGACATTTCTGGGAAGCTTTGTTCTTCTTTTTCTTCTGGAATGTAGATATGGAGGCTGGAAGCAGAATGAAAGTCCTGCACTAAGGATGGAGACCGGGGACCTTAGACAGTGGTTGCATGGGCAGGGATGTCTTTTTCAGCTTGGAGCAGTTAGAGAAGACCTCTCTGAGGGCTTGACATTTGAACTGAGGCTTAAATGACGACAATGAGGCAATCCTGCCAAGATCCGGGTTGGTCTTGGTGTGCCTGATGGACAGAGGGACACCAGCATGGCTGCAGCGGAGGCGAGGCCACAGCGGAGGTGGATCACCTGTGGTCTGTGGTCCGAGGTAAGGGTTCTGGGTTTCATGCTGGTTGCAGTAAGAAGCCATTGAAGGGTTTTAGGCAGTAGTAACATGATGTGATTTTTAAAAATAGATTTTATTTTTTAGAGCAGTTTTAGGTTCACGGCAAAACTGAACAGAAGCTACAGAGATTTCCCATATCCCCCCGCCACCGCGCACGCACAAATTCCTCCATTAACAACACCTCCCACCAGAGCGGTCCACTACTTCCAACTGATGAACCCGCCTTGACACATCACTATCACCACATGATGTGATTTTAACTTCGGAAAGATCTCTATGGCTTCTCTGAGGAAAAATGGACTAGGAGCGGAGGGAAGAGTAAAAGCAGAGAGCAGTAAGGAGCTGGGCGAGAGGCCTGAACACTTAGACTAGAGTTGGAGCCACAGCGATGGGCAAGAGCAGAAAGATTCAGAACACAGAGGTCAAGACAACCGTCGGCACGACTTACCAATGGGTGCGAGAGAAAGACAGGAATCCAAGTGAGTCCTGGGGGTCAGCGTGAACAGCTGGATGGACGGGGCAACAGTAACCGACACAGGGAATACTCCACGGAGAGTACATTTGGGGGTAAAACTCTAGTTTTAGTTTGGCTATGTTAACCCTGAGATGCCTTTTAGACTTACAAGTGGAGATGTTTGCTAGACAGACGACCCAGAGCACTCAGGGGAGTGTCCTTGCTGGGGGGCCTGATTGTGTGACCCTACCACCACGGTCACAGGAAGGGACTCCAGGGCAGCCACACAAGCCCATGATGTAGCCTGGCATTACAGTCTGACCAAATAAGGATAATAATAAATTAAGTAATCCAATCCTCTATTTTTATTAGACTTTGAATACCGGACACATAGAAAATGTACATCATTGATTTAAAACAACTAAGCACCATCTTACAGAGGGAAGATGCAAGGAAAGCCATGATGCAGCAGAAACCATGAGGTGGAGAGAAGAAAGAATTATTAGTTGGAGAAACAGACCATAAGGTAGAGCACCAGGGCAGGGAACAACAGATAATCCTGTCCCCAGAGCTGTTCTGTTCCCTGAACAACTTTTTTGTTCTGAAAAACAATTCTGTTTTCCACAAGGCTCCCACTATTTGTGGTTCAAACTACTTCTTCAAATATTTCTTCTGTTCCTTACTTCTGGTATTCCCATAAAGCATATGCTATACCTATTGTAGTTGCGCCATAGTTCTTGGATATTCTGCTCCATTTTTTTTTTCAGTCTTTTTTCTCTTCGCTTTTTCAGTTTTGGAAGTTTCTATTGACCTATTCCCAAATTTGGAGATTCTTTCTTCAACTGTGTCCAGCCTACTAATGAAGCTATCAAAGGCATTCTTCATTTCTATTAGTGTTTTTGATCCCCTGCATTTCTTTTTGATTCATTCTTAGAATATCCATGTCTGGGCTTACATTACTATCTGTTCTTGCATGACGTCTACTTTTTCCATGAGAGCCTTTAGCATACTAATTATAGGTGTTTTAAATTCCTGGTCTGGTAACTCCAACATCCCTGTCATATGACTCAGGTTCTGGTACTTGCTAAGTTTCTTCAAACTGTGTTTTTTGCCTCTTAGTATGCCTTATATTAATAATATTTTGTTGAAAGGTGGACATGATGTACTGGGTAAAAGGAACTGCAGGAAATAGGCCTTTAGTGAAGGTGGTGGGGGTGAAGAGGAGAAAAGTTTTACAGTCCTGCGTGTGGTTCTCAGTCTTTTACTGAGCCTATGCTCTTAGGCTGTAAACTTCCTAAGTCCTTAGTTTTGCCCCCATAGGTGGGACAGGATGGCTCCAGTGGCTGGAATGTGGTATTTCCCTTCCCCCAGTCTGCTTAGGCTCTGGTAGAACAGATTTGCCTGAGGGCCCACCTTGTTAAGAACAGAACGCTCTGGTGTATTTCAAAAGGGTTATTTTTCCTCCCCTCCCTTCAAGAAGCATAAGGGGATTTTTCTCTGATATTCAGGATCTGGTAGAGCCTCAGAAGGTAAAACTCTCAACAGTGTCGAGGTCCCCCAATGACTGGGGCCCCCTGGATTTTTTACTGCTCAGATTTGTCTGCACTGAGCCTCCAGCACTGTGTCAGCTACAGTTCAGGTTCTCCTGCCCCAGCACTGGTTCCTGGAGGTTTCTGCTCCTGGATTTCAGCTTCGGCAAGTTACGACTCTCTGTATGCTCCTGTCTCTCCAATTTGGGGGCAGCTGCCTCCCTTGCAACCTCACTCCATGGATGGATCCAAAAAGAGCTGTTGATTTCTCAGTTTGTTAACAAGCTTCTTGCTTGTTAAGATGGCATGACAATCTTCAAGCTCCTCACATGCCAGATGAAACTAGAACTTCTGGTTCAAACCATTTCTGATAGTGCTTATTCCCCAGCCAGCCAAATAATACACTCACCTTTATCCAACACAACCTGAGCCCGATACGCAGGGCCATTCTCTTCTTTAGTTTTTTAAAGTCCTGTCCTTCCCTACCAGACTCTTGTACTTGAATCAATGAATGACGCAGCAGCTAAGCCTCAGAGGGAGCAAATTAACACAGTGGAGTTTTCAGTTTCATTGACAATATCACCAAGTATTTTCTATAATGCTATTAACAACCCAAAGCACTTTAGAAAACAGCTTTCATTAACCACAATTACTGTACCTGCTGTCTCTCTCTGGGATTTCCTTGATAGCAATTCTGACTTGGTTGCTCATGTCTCGACCTGCGTAGACTATCCCGTAAGTACCTTTTCCTAAAACGACTCTGTCACCATTCTCATCATATTCATAGTCATACTACGAAAGGAAAAATGGAGAGAGAAAATTGAAACATTAATTGCATTCTACATTTCAAACATCAAATTTTTCCAAAAGCATTTTTCCTTATTTTACCAAATGGCTTTAATAAGTGAAATATGAATAATAAGCCAAAGTTCTAAAAAGCAGCTTAAAGAAACAAAAAATACACACTCAACATACAGCAGATAAAGTGTTCATGTTTTCACAACTGTTACAAATACAGTGAGCACTACATAGCTAAATCCCCAAAAATGCTTTTCCAAAAGCCCACTCGTATCCTTTCACCTACTCAGTCCTGTTTTTCGTTGATTCTGCAGAGCAATGAAACAATGTACAATCGGCAGCAACATATATCAGTGTTTGTAACATACAATTAATCTTCCATTTGTTATTCAGCTTTTGATACTGGTAAAGCATTTCCCACTGCCAGGAAAATCAAACCACTGAAAGGTTTTGGGTAAGAAGGAAATTTGGAGGCCTTATTAGTTGACAATGATTAAGAAAGGATTATTTTTATTTCACCCCCAGTTCCCCAAGACCCAGTCATATCTAAGAAATAAAAAACAGAGGAAAAACTTAATCTTTGATGTAAAATGGAAATATTTACAGCCCTAAACTCCAACTGTCAGGCGTGTCAGCCAAATGGGAAAAACTGGATCTACAGAAGAATTTGGCAGAGACCTCCTCAGATCTGGTGCCACCATCAAGAAAGGCTCATCCTTTGTCTTGGACTGGAATTACAGGATTTAGGGCCATCAAATGATCAAGCTGTGTCCCTATAGAAACCCAGTGTGATGAAACAATAGACCAGCAGGAGAGAAGATAAGAACAAGCTCTTCCTATGTTCTATATTGTGCTAGAGTGTAAAACTGGCAGCTCATATTAGATTCAACTCACAGAAGTGTTTGAGTTGGCCATTAAAAAAACTGATTTCTAACATTTATAAGCCAGTAAATTTAACAGTAATACTGATGAGTATCCACAAAGAGGACAATGATCATGGATTTTAATGCTCATTAACAGCGTAGCCTTGAAATATATAAAGCAGAGCTGATAAAATTATAAAGAAAAATAGACAGATATAAACCACAGTAGGTTTTAACAGAAATCTTTTAGAAATGGATATATCTAGCAGATAAACTCAAAATAGAGACCCTACTGGGACAATGAACAAGCTTGACACAACATATAAGAAAGCCCTGTACCCAGATAAAAATTTCTTTCGTGCATATATAAAAAGTACAATTGATTGCATATTAGTCCACAAAGAAAATTTCAATAAATTCCAAAGAACTGATATCATAAAGACCATGATCTTTGAACACAGGATATTAAAAATAAGATAGCGAAAAAGTATATTTTACTTTACTTTAAAATAATCAATAGGTTACAATAGAAATGACCAGGGGAATTATAAAATAGTTTAAAAGAATGAAAAGCATTATATATATATATCAAACACTGCAGACATAGTTACATAGATGAAAAATTTCATGGTCTTAAAAAATTCCATTAGAGGCCGGGCACGGTGGCTCACGCCTGTAATCCTAGCACTCTGGGAGGCCGAGGCGGGCGGATTGTTTGAGCTCAGGAGTTCGAAACCAGCCTGAGCAAGAGCGAGACCCCGTCTCTACTAAAAATAGAAAGAAATTTGCTGGACAACTAAAAATATATAGAAAAAATTAGCCGGGCATGGTGGCGCATGCCTGTAGTCCCAGCTACTCGGGAGGCTGAGGCAGGAGGATCGCTTGAGCCCAGGAGTTTGAGGTTGCTGTGAGCTAGGCTGACGCCACGGCACTCACTCTAGCCAGGGCAACAGAGTGAGACTCTGTCTCAAAAAAAAAAAAATTCCATTAGAAAATAAAGAAAAATTTAAAATCAATAAGTTAAATGTTCAAATCAGGGAACATAAAAGGCAGAATATAACTCTCTGAAGATGGCAGAATGCAGGCTCTGGTTTGGGCAACATGGTGGACTAGGTACCCAAAAACCTTCCTGCTAAAAACACCTAGATAAAATAAAATAGACATATTTTTAAATATCTAGCTGAGCTTACAAAAGAGTAAAGAGGACCGCCAGGAGCTAGAAATGAAAAGGAAAGGAACACCAGGCGGTAATCACAAGAACGGAGGCTCCCGTAGCCCAGAGGGGGATGAAGGCGGGGTTTTCAATTCCATGAATCTAGGGCAGGAGTTTGCGCATGTTCTCTGTAAAGGGCCAGAAAGTGAATATTTTCACCGTTTCAGGCCACATGGTCTTTGTAGCAAGTACTCAATTTTGCCACCGTGATGTGAAAATAGCCCAGTAGAAACAGAAACAAAAGGACGTGGCTGTGTTCCAATAAAACTTTATTTACCACAATAAATGGTGAGCTGGTTTTGGCCCTTGGGCCATAGTTTGCCAACCTCTCATCTGGGGCTTGGGTTTTAATGACCATAAGGGGATAGGAAATGTGACCTGGTGCCTATACTAGAGGAAGAGCTGGAACGCACAAAACCAGGCCCTCGAAGGACTACAACTTGGTGAAATGATAGATTAGAAAAGTCAGCCCACTACACTAGGAAACAAAAAGAAAGCTGGTCTGTTGTGGACTGTGCTCTGGATGTGCGAAAACAAGTATTCTCTGAAAACTTTTAACCACAGCTGATTCTCATGTTGTTTGGAGTTCAAATTTACACTTGTTATAATACTCATAACTGCTCTTGAGCCTGGGACATCCCTGGAGCGCCTGGCAGAAACAAAGCAAAAACATTTTAAAGGGAGACCTCCTTAATACTGGCTATGCAGGATTCTCACTGACAAGTACCACTGAAATTGAGCTCACAATCTAAAAAATTTAAAATATATAAGGAAACAATTCAACATCAGTGAAAGATATAACAAACATCAATTCTCAAAACTTCATAAAATAAAACAGAAACTGTAAAATATGTACATTTAACATAGATAAAAAATAACATTTTTAAAATGAGAAAAGAATAAGATATTCTACAAAAGACCAGGCCAGGCACGGTGGTTCACACCTGTCATCCCAGCACCATGGGAGGCCAAGGCAGGAGGATTGCTTGAGGCCAGAAGTTTCAGACCAGCCTGGGCAATGTAGCGAGACCCTGTTTCTACACAAAAAATTTTAAAAATTAGCCGCTGTGGTGGCACACGTCTGTAGTCCCAACCATTCAGGAAGCTGAGGTGGGAGGATCACTTGGACCCAGGAGTTGAAGGTTACAGTGAACTATGACTGTGCCACTGTACTCCAGCCTAGGCAACAGAGTGAGACCCTGTCTCTAAAAAGAAAAATTAAATTAAAAAGTAAAAAATATAGGCCAGACACAGTGGCTCACACCTGTAATCTCAGTGCTTTGGAAGACCAAGGTAAAAGGATTGCCTGAGGCTGAGTTTGGGACCAGCCTGGACAACATAGCAAGACACCCCATTTTTACCAAAAATAAAAAAATCAGCTGGGTATGGTGGTGCACACCTGTAGTCCCAGCTACTCAGGAGGCTGAGGCAAGAGGATCCCTTGAGCCCAGGAGTCTGAGGTTGCAGTGAGCTATGATGATACCACTGCATTCTAGCCTGGGTGACAGAGCAAGATTCTGTCTCGAAAAATAAAATTAAATTCAAAAAATTTTTTAATTAAAAAGACCAGACAGATTTGAGAAAGGATCAAATATAACTTCCAGAAATTGAGCCCTAAATAGGAAAAATAAAAACAAATTCATAAGAAAGTAAAAAAATAAAAAATAAAAACAAATTCACACTCAGGTATGATATAGGGAAACTACAAATATGAAAAGGCAAAGAGAAGGAAGGAATCATAAAAGGAAGCAGTTACAAAAAGGACACATTACCTATAAAGCCAGCTCGTCAGATCACTCTGCAAACCCTCCGGGGTACACATGCCAGACTTGATTGGATGGGGGTGGTGTGGGACATGTCCTTACCAGCTCCTAGTTATTGGTTTCCAAGCCCTCACAGAAGGCAGTCAGGCGGTACCTCGTCGGGGGAACTACACCCAATACGAAGCCAGGTCTGGGCTGAGCACTGCCCTCCCTGTCATGGAGTCCTCTCTGAGTCAGGACAGAGGCCAAACTCTGGAAGGAAGGTGTCTGCTTCCCTGGTGGCAACAAGTGGGTGTCCATTGCTGGGGACCCAGTGGTACGTTAGAGAATACCCCTATTCTGACTTCCCAACATAAGGCTGAACACTGTCCTAGCCCAGAGCAAATGACCAAGTAGGTGTTCACTGTGAAGGAACAGGCAGCAGGGATCATGCAGCAATTTGCTATGACTCAGAGATAAAACTGGGCTCCTGCCAAGAGGCAGGAAGCACAGTCCAACAATGGTCCAGACTTCTGGAGTGCCGTGCCATGCACGCTGAATTCTACCAGCAGGGACCATCACGCTGAAGCCCAACTTTGCCAGTGTGCCCTGTCAAAGGAATAGAAACTTCTACACTGAACCTACTACCACCACTGCCTTACATTATTCTAATGCTTTATTATTTAAAAGAAAAAAAATCCCAATTTTCAATAATCTACTTCACTTTACTGTCATATAATAAGCCTGTGTCATAGTAGGGAAGGTCTCTGATTACCTCCAACTTACAAATGATCAGAAATTTTTTTTTCCAGTGAAAATATGTCAGAATTGTGGTTTAAAACCAGCTCATAAGATTTCAGATTTTGTGTCCTTTCCACTACCAATGCTGTAGGGAAACCCCATTATAGCACAAGAGCTTATAAGGTGAATATAAGTTCTGCTTCCAAACACCCGTGTTACAAAGATATTCCACCAGCATGTTGTCAATAGCCACTGAACAACCACGCAGTTTTTCAAGCAGACATGTGGTAGCCACTGCCCTCTTAGAATCCATTTTTTACTTTCCCTTACTTCCTATATCAAATTGATTGGCAAATGCTGTCAGGTTTTTCTTTTATAATCTCACAAATTCATTTTCCCTCTTTATCCTCACTGCCATTGCCTCAGATCATGCTT